CGAGGGGAGTCGCGAGGCCCCCAGCCCCGGGCCCCGGGCCAGGATGTCTGTTAGGCCAACCTCCCCTCCTCCTCCCACCTGCTCCCCGCTCACCCCCATCTTCTCGCCCCCACCTTCGTCTCCCCTTCTCCCCCTCGCCCCTCGCCTCCTCCTTTCTGCTTCTGTGCCCCTGCCCCTCCTCCCGTCCCACCTCCTCTGTCGTGACTGTCACCATTGTTCACTTGTAGTAGTTTCCCAACTTTGGAGAGAACACCAGGGCCGCGCGCCCCCACCCCTGTGACCTCATCTCCCCACAGCTACACACACACATGCACACACACGCACGCACACATGCACACACACATGCACACATGCACACGCGCACACTATTCCAGCCTCATTCTTCCTGGAACAAGCCGAGGACTCCCGCCTCGGGGTCCTGTAAGCCTGCACTGGGCATTCCGTTCCCCCAGATATCCGCCTGGCTCCTTCCTTCCTTCGCGACTGCTCTGCCACCTTGTGTAAAATGAGATAGCGCCAGCTCTCCCATTCACCCTTCGCCCTTACTGTGAGCACCACCTGGCGTGTTCACACTTGACTTTATTTGTTCTTTGCATTCCCAGCATGGCTCCAACCAGAATGCCGCTAGCAGAAGCTTTGCATTGCGGCCCCTGCCCTGTCCCCAGCACCTAGAGCTCTGCCTGGAGGGGAATGCTGACCCACAGCCTTCTCGGTGGCCCTGAACTAAGTGCCTTGCACACAAGGGCTCCACTTAGAGATAAGGGAACACGTGCGGAGAGGCTAAATCAGCAAATCTAAGTTTCTGCTTTCTGATGAGACATGCTGAGCAAGTGAGCAAATGACCAGTGGGCACCTGCAGTTATAAGTGCTCCAAGGAAAAACGGATGGGCGCTTGTCCCCCCGCAGTCCTCCATGCCCCCCTGGTCTGCCCCCTACTGCCTGCAGTCCCCGCCCACTGAGTGCCGGTCCCCAACATAGGCCAATCTCCTTGTTCTCTAAGTGGGGTTACGGAGCGGACAACCAGGGTTACATGGGGTAGGAGGCAGTGTCCCCAGCACCTGGAGAGACGCCAGTCCCGGAGCGAAGCCTTCTGAAAACATTCAGCTCCAGAAGGAAGCGGCCGTCTCCCAGGCCCAGCCTCTAGCAGTCACTATTTATTGAGCGCTTACTGTATACTGGCCGGAGAGCCTTGCCTGGCCCTGCCTTCTGGGGAGACCCAGCCTCGTCCGGTGCACGAGGAGCAGGGACCTGGATCAGGATGGCCGGGCCATGGCTGTAGTGTCCGATGGGAACCGGTTCCAAGAAATCCATACTCCAGGGTTTCCCACCCCGCAGTCCTGGGGGGCTTGGCCTTCTCGGTGCCTCAGTTTCCTCATCTGTCCAGTGGGGATGATAAGGACCTCTCTCCACGAGCTGTCGTGAGGATGACATGAGTCAGGAATCTGTGACGATGCTAGTATGTAGTATCTAGTATACACTCAATAAAGACTCGAAGTCATCAGCTCGCTAATTCATTAATCAAGTAACTCGATTAATTAATGTATTTCGCTGAATTTCTTCAGGCCTTCAATGGGCATCAGCCATGGGGACTGTTTTATTTATTTACTTGTTTACTTTTGCTTTTGTACTTCTTGGGAATAAACCCACGATCTAAAACCTGGAATCTGCCCGGGCCCTGACGGTCCCTGCCTCGATGTCCAGCCTCTCTCCGTGAGGACCATGTCACCTTGCCCATCTCACCCAGTCTAACTTTTATTTATTACTAAGTCTCCAAGGCCCAAATGTGCGTGGTGCTTACCCAAGACAGCCCCAAGGCCACAGCAGGAGCGACCTCATGTCACGCCACGCTGTCTCTGGACAAAGGAGAAAGGCGGAGATGAAAGGCTATTTGACACACGTGACCAGCCGTGACCTTGATGAGGGGAGGCACTTCCGATGGCGGGGGCGGGGGCAGCCTAAGAAGGGGCAGGAGAGACTTCGTCATGTTTTAGAGAGAGGCCTTGCTGGAGTGAGGAAAGACAAGGATGCAGGGGGAAAAAAAAGAGATTGATGATAGTAAAATATTAGCGACATTGATGTCAGCGGCATCCTGCAAAACTGAGTCAAATGACCTTCTTCCTCAGCTCAAAACCCTCCTGTGATCAAGACAGATGGTGAGTGCCGGCAGAGATGGGGAGAACGTGGGCCCCTCCCTCACCGCTGCTGTCAACTGCCGCAGCTGCTGTGACAAACAGCTCCTCAAAAGCCTAAACCTAGAGTCCCAGAGCAGCCAGGAGGTCTACCCCCAGGGGTCTACGAGAGAAATGAAAACCGTGTCCACACACAAATGTGCACACGAACACTCATTACAGCACTGTGCACAGTAGCCAAAAGGGAGGAACGGCCCAAACGTCCATCAACTGATGTGATAAACTACAGAGTGTCACACGGTGGAATATGATGCAGCCATAAAAAAGGAACAAAGCACCACACACGCTACACCGGAGGGAACTTTGAGAACGCTGCCCTAAGTGAAAGACGCCGGGTACGAAAGGCCACATAGCGTACGATTCCATTTCTCCGAAACGTCCAGAACGGGCAGAGCCACAGAGACAGAAAGCAGCTGAGCATTCGCCCGGGGGAGGAAGTGGGGAGAGTCAGGAGTGACTGCCGAAGGGTACGAGGCTTCTTTTGGGGGTGACAAAAATGTTCTAAGATTGATGGTGGTCGTGGCTGTGCAACTCCATGAAGGTAGTAAAGTCTGTTGAACTGTATGCTTTAAATGAGTGAATTGCATGCTACGTCGATTATGTGTCAGTGAAGCCGTTATTTAAAACACACACACACACACACACACACAATGCTTTCTCATGGTTCCAGCCTCAGAGTAAAAGCCAAAGTTCTCACCACAGACCACAAGGCAGGCCTCGTCGTCCTGACCTCCCGCTACCCTCTGCCGGGCCCCCTCTGCTCCACCTCCTGGGTGGTCTTCAGGCCTGCCGCCTTGCCCTGCCCCAGGGCCTTTGCACCTACTGGTCCTTCTCCTGGACCTCTCTTCTTGCCTCGAACGCTTACTCTTTTCCTTCAAGTCCCCACTCAAATGTCATCTTCTCCACAAGGACTTCCTTGTCCTCCAAGGAACAATAGCTCCCAGAGCCCAGTGTTAAGACCCTGCCTCTGCGGACAGGCCACATAGCTGCGCGGCCTCGGGGAGCTTGATAGACCTGTCTGTGCCCTGGCTTCCTTATCTATGCAGTGGGGGCTTCTCCACGGTGCCCACCTCCTGAGGGCGTCATGAGGATTAAATGAGTTAATTCTGGTTACATGCTTAGCAAGGTGCCAACGTCAGATGGGACCTCCACGCTCTGCAGGCAGGCAGCTGCTATCCACCCCACCCCAGCCCAGGAAGAATTATTATCAGCCTCGGGGCAACAAATGAGATGCCTTGCACAGAGACTGATTCGAAACTGTCATAGCTGGTTAGTGGCAGAGCAGGGACTTGAACCAAAGTCACTTGGCTTCAGAGCAGGGACATAAATCACTACTCTCTTTGCTGAGGAAAAGGAACAAGCAGAGAAAGGAAAAAGAGGGAGGAAGTGGAAGGAAGAGGGGGTGATGGAAGGACAGGAGCAAAGGAAAAGCCAGTGAGGACGAGGAAACCATTGCTCTCCTCAGCTGCCAGCTCGGTCTCCACGCGCACGAGGGCAGAACCAGAGCTCACGTTCGCTACGTCTTTCATTCAACTGACATTGACCAAGCACCTGCCACAGGCCGGGCACTGAGCTCTGTGTGGGCGACCCAGCAGTGAACGTGACGAAGCTCCCCGGCCCTGCAGACCTTGTGTTCCGGCAGACAGACAAGATCTGTAAATGAGAAACATGGTTAATGCTGAATTTTATGACATGTCAGAGCCGAGCTGTCCAATACAGGAGCCCCTGGCCATGTGTGGCTCCCAGGCACTTGTCTCAGGTGACAGGTGATATGTCATACACACGCCAGGTTTCAAAGACTTAGTATGAAAGAAAGAACATAAAATATCTCAAGATTTTTATATTGGTTACATGCGGACAACATTCGGATATGTTGGGTTAAATGAGGTACACTATTCAAATTAATTTCTCATTTCTTTTTACTTTTTAAAATCGGCTACTAACATTGTTTTTAAATGCATATGTGGCTCCCACTGCACCTCTGTCAAACGATGCTGTGTTTGGGTATGACACCTGCTTTACGGGGAAAATAAGAGAGCCAGGTAAGTGCCACTGATGGGGACAGGGGGCTGAAATTTAAATGGGGTGGTCCGGGGGGGCCTCTGTGAAAAGATGACATTTGAGCAAAGACCCACGAGAAGTGCAGGAAGGTGCCACGCAGGCGTGTCTGGGGAGCCGTGCAAAAACCGGAGGAGAGTTTTCTGGGCAGAGGGCACAGCCAGTGCAGAGGCCCTGAGGCAGGACTGTGCCCAACAGATGTTATTTAAAGTGCTACTTTCTCACGCTGATGCACATGACTTCCTAGGAACTGCTTTCTTCGGTAGGTGAAAATGCCCCTGTCATATCGTGAGTATTCGTGGAGGTCTCCAGAGCTGCCGAACGTCCCTAGGAGCTCCTGCAGGTCCCGGCTTCCTGCAAAGTCACCCCACCTCGTGCATCTCTGGCTGCCTTCCTCCTGTATGAGCTGGCAGATGAACACCACCTTTGCCCCCAGCTCTCAGGACTTGAGACATCGCCTCCCCGGTGAGAGCCAAGCCTCCAGCAAAAAACTACCTTCCAGGACAAAGGTGCAAGTCTGTGGAAAGGGTTTGTCTGGCACTGTGAGCTAATGACTGCTCCATTTCTGCTAGGTCACAAGAAGAGAGATACTTTATCCACCCCCACAGCCTACAGCAGCTGAGCCCGAGGGTGGGTCCTATCCCAGGTCACGTGGCTCTGCCGTACCTCCCCAGAGACAAGACGGATTCATTCCTTCATTCGCTCACTCACGTATTCATTCATGCACTCATGGAGCACACCTGCCAAGCACCCACTCTGTGCCAGGGGCTGGGGACCGTATGGTGAGCAAGTCTGGTTCCCTCTGTCCTGGCCTTACTTTTTAGTCGGGGAGAAAGATTTTAAAACCAAACAAAAACAAACCCACAAAAACAAATAAACAAGGATTTTAGATGGTGCCAAGTGCTAGCGGGAGAAACAAATAAGGTAATGCCACAGAGAAGTGGGGGAGAGGGGTGAGACCTGAAGGCTGACAGCCGGGGGA